ACCAATGACCCACTGTACCCAGCTGTCTGGGGGTTTTTTGTTTGTTTTGTTTTGTTTGAGCAGAGTCTTACCCTGTTCTACCTAGACACTGGAGTGCAGTGTCATGATCTCGGCTCACTGCAACTCTGCTTCCCAGGTTGAAGCAACTCTCCTGCCTCAGCCTCCCGAGTAGCTAGCCACCACACCTGGCTAATTTTTGTATTTTTAGTAGAGACAGGGTTTTCACCATGTTAGCCAGACTGTCCTCGAACTCCTGACATCAGGGTGATACCTGCCTCGGCCTCCCATAGTGCTGAGATTACAGGCATCAGCCCACACGCCTGCTGGCTTTTTTTTTTTTTTTTTTTTTTTTTTGAGACGGAGTCTCGCTCTGTCGCCCAGCTGGAGTGCAGTGGCCGGATCTCAGCTCACTGCAAGCTCCGCCTCCCCGGTTCACGCCATTCTCCTGCCTCAGCCTCCCGAGTAGCTGGACTACAGGCGCACGCCACCCTCGCCCGCTAGTTTTTTTGTATTTTTTAGTAGAGACTGGGTTTCACCATGTTAGCCAGGATGGTCCTTGATCTCCTGACCTCGTGATTGCGCCCGTCTCGGCCTCCAACGGCCTGGTTTTTTAAAATTGTATTTATTTAATTATGTTTTAGAGCTGGAATTGTTGCTGTGTTGTCCAGGATGCATCAAACTCCTGGGCTCAGTTAATCCTTCTGCCTCAACCTCCCGAGTAGCTGGGATTACAGGTGTAATGCCACCATGCCTCGCCCTCTGGTCTTTTACATTAGTTGTTTACTTTGAATTAAGCCTCTTCTTGTAGTTAATATAAAGTTTGGCCAAAACCTTAGAGTAATTTTAAGAATAGAGAATCTTAGAAATTGAGAGGGATTTAAAGATTATTTAATCAAGGTAAGAATAAATATCTATTATCATCTCCAATGGTCAGCTCTGAAAGAATCTAATACCTAATATGGAAACCAGTATTCATTTTTTGACTAGTTTTTTTTTAAAAAAGTCTTAATAAAAACATTTAAAAATTAGGCCGGTTGCAGTGGCTCACACCTGTAATCCCAACACTTTGGGGAGGCCAAGATGGGTGGATCATCTGAGGTCAGGTTGTTCAAGAACCAGCCTGGCCAACATGGTGAAACCTCGTCTCTACTAAAAATATAAAAATTAGCTGGGCGTGGTGGCAGGCGCTGTAATCCCAGCTCTCGGGAGCTGAGGCAGAATTGCTTAAACCCAGGAGGTGGAGGCTGCAGTGAGCCAAGATTGCGCCATGCACTTCAGCCTGGACGCCAAAAAAATTTATTTAACACATTTTCTATTTTTGTTTTTGATTTCTAGTCTAATAACCCTGTCAAAATGTTTTGATAAGTTTGGCATTGTTACTCTTACGGAGCCTGAGCTTGGTTTCTAATATTCTTTTTTTTTTTTTTTTTTTGAGACGGAGTCTCACTCTGTCGCCCAGGCTGGAGTGCAGTGGCGCCATTCGGCTCACTGCAAGCTCCGCCTCCCGGTTTCATGCCATTCTCCTGCTCAGCCTCCCGAGTAGCTGGGGACTGACCAGGCGAATAATAATAATAATAATAATATGTCATGACATGTATTAATTATGAAATTCAGATTTAAGTATCTATAAATAAAATTTTATCGGAACACAGCCAAGCTCATTCATTTATGCTTTGTGGCTGCTTTTACGTAGTAGCATACTGGAATTATTGAAACAGCCTAAAATACTTATTATTTAGCCTTTTACACAAAAAGTTTGCTGAGTCCTGCTATAGACTGATGTCAGTGTCCAGTTTCCAGATTCTGCACTTTTTTTTTTATTATTTGATATGGAATTTCGCTCCTATTGCCCCAGACTGGAGTGCAGTGGCGTGATGTCGGCTCACTGCAACCTCTGCCTCCTGGGTTCAAGCGATTCTCCTCCCTCAGCCTCCCAAGTAGCTGGGACACAGGTGCACACCACCATGCCCGGCTAATTTTCGTATTTTTAGTAGAGATAGGGTTTCACCATGTTGGCCAGGCTGGTCTCAAACTGCTGAACTCAGGTGATCCGCCTACCTCGGCCTCCCAAAGTGTTGGAATTGCAGGCATGAACCACCGCGCCTGGCCAGATTCTATACTTTTTCAAGTTCTTTCTGACCTGAGTTCTCTGTATTTAGATTTCTGATAACTGTTCTATTAACAGTACTACTCAATCAGAGGTGATTTTGCCCCCCAGAGGACATTTTGTAATAGCTGAAGACATTTGTGGTTATCACAACTGGGTGTTCTATGGTTACTACCAGTACATGGTGGGCCAAGGATGCTGTTAAACATCCTACAGTGAAAGCTGGGTGCCGTGGCTCACCCCTGTAATCCCAGCACTTTGGGAGGCCAAGGCAGGCAGATCACCTGAGGTCAGGTGTTCAAGACCAACCTGGCCAAAATAGCGTAACCCTGTCTCTACTAAAAAATACAAAAAATTAGCCAGTGTAGTGGCACACACTTGTAATCTCAGCTACTCAAGAGGCTGAGGCAGGACGATCGATTGAACCCAGGAGGCAGAGGTTGCAGTGAGCCAAGATCATGCCACTGCACTCTAGTCTGGGTGACAGAGCAAGACTCCATATCAAAACAAAGAAAGGCTGATGTGGTGGCTCATGCCTGTAATCCCAGCACTTTGGGAGGCTGAGGCAGGTGGATTACCTGAGTTCAGGAGTTCAAAACCAGCCTGGCCAACATGGCAAAACTCCGTCTCTACTAAAAATACAAAAATTAGCGGAGCATAGTGGCAGATGCCTGTAATCCCAGCTACTGGGGAGGCTGAGGCAGAATTACTTGAACCCGGGAGGCAGAGGTTGCAGTGAGCTGAGATGGTGCCACTGCACTCCAGCCTGGGCAACAGAGTAATACTCCATCTCAGGAAAAAAAAAGAGAAAAAGAAATTTACTGAAGAATCTGGTATGTAGAAAGTATTATTGTATGTGAAACAAATTATGTAATTTTATGTGTTTAACCCTTTATGTGTATATAATGAATGGCTGTTTTTAAATTTCTAATGTATCGATAAAGTCATATGACTTCTAACACTATATTTTATGTGGTTTCTAACAGTGTATTTTCAGTAGGAGTCTTCTAGATTGTTTGGACTAAAATTTATAATTTATTTTTTATCCCTTTTTTAGGGTAACCTACAGTTGCTGCAGAACTGCCTGGCAGTGTTAAATGGAGACACATAAGCCACACTCCGCCTTCCTGTTAAAAAGGGCTGCCTTCCTTCAAATGTTATTTTTGTTTTCTTAATGATGTTAAGCATTTATGCTCACTGGAAACCAACAGAAAACAGCTGAAAAAGTGCATCTACTCCTCTTTTTCTGAGAAACATGGAGCAGCACACACCTAGGCGATGCCAGTCTGTGTGCTGTGATGCTGCACTGTGTTCTCCAGGACAGTGGTCCATCATCGTGCACTTGTCATACTCAGAAGTCCAAAGTTCATTCTTCTTTAAAGTAGCCTCTATAACTCTGTTTATTTTATAAATAGTATTCCTTATGGCTGCCAATCTTATTTACCTTTAAATAATTTCTGAAGTTTAACCTTTTCAGAATGCATTGTTCAAACAAGATGAAGATTGCCTTTTTTGAATTTTTTTTAATTTTGTTTTTAAAAGCATTATATACCACCTTAGTTCATTCATGTATCCTGGTAAAGCATCTTAATCAGACTTATTTTTAATTACTGAATATTTCTTAGAAGTTTTGGGACAGATTTTATGTAATCTTTGTAAGTATGATTTCTGAAGAAAAGCAAATGCATTAGTATGTTTGCCTTAAACTTGTAGACTAAACCAATTATTGTAAAATAAACAGCGATAACAGTGATAGTTTTTAACTCTCTGGTAATTGTATCACTCTGGAAAATGTGGAGTAGCTGTAATAAATCTACTCCTATATAATGCTTTACAGTGCAGGTCTTAGTTTTTCTTTTTTCTCGTTTCTTTTGAAATGGCATCTCGAACAAAGTCCACCAATCCCTTTACAAAAGAATGAACTGTTCCTCTGTGTGTACTTCATAGAAGGTGGAATCGGACAGAGGCAGGTTAGCGACAGTTATTCCTGAAATACAGGAGCAAAGTACAGTCTGTTGTGGTTTCCAGGATTCCACGCCTAGCTCAGCCAATTAAGCATGAGACATATACCAGTGAGCCACTTAGTAGTTATGCGAGTGGATAGATTGGTATGTAGAGGGAAAGAGGTCTGCTGTAAAGAACAACACTTGTTTGTCTGTGGGGAAAGAAAAGTAGAATACTTGAGATGAAAGTTGGCATACAAATAGGATACTGTCGCCAGTAGTTATATTACAAACACTGTCGGCCTTTCTAATGTGAATGAACATTACTGTCATTCCTAGTTTAAAGTTAGGTTGCGTGGTTGGATTTTTCCACTATCTTTTTCTAATTTTTCTACCATTTGGAGACCCATAGGGATTTGGGCCTGTCACCCCTTGGATGGGTTCCTAGTTTGTTTACATTTTCCTGAACCCTCCTGAGCGCCCATTCTTGGGCTAGTCCCCGGTCGTGATGATTCCACACTTCCTCAGCAGCATGTTCTCTTGTCTCATTCATGAGCTGATCAGTGTTTCGTCTCTTTAACTGACGTGTTCCCCAGTGCTGTTTGAACTGTTGATTTTCCGTTGCTGGCTGAGTGCGTTTTGTCCTTCACATAACCTTCACTGGTAAAAATAAGCCCATGTGATGTCCACCAGTGGATGAAGGCAGGACCAAGAGCCCTAGCTTCTGGATCCAGGTCTAGCCCCTTCATCTGCTGCTTTGTGGCCCAGGGCAGGTTTGCTTGACCTCTGCCTCAGTTTTCTACTCTAAAGGACATATTGACCTACCTCACAGGGGTGTTGTGAGGATTAATAAACGTTGGTACTGTGCTTTGGAAATGTGAAAACGCTGTGTAAATGTTAAGAAATACTAAGTATAGGGCCAAAAGCTATACAGTGTTTCACTTACCCATTTGCTGTTCTGTACCAAGGTGATCTTTTCTGGGGAAGGAAGTAGAGTGGAAGGTGCATCCCTCGGCCCCTGGTTTACATTGTTAGAGTGCTTATTGTGGGAATGCACTCTAAAACGTGGGCGTAGAATGAAAGCAGCAGTCCAGTGGTCCTGCCTTTTCTGCAGTTTCACTTTTCTTCAAGTTACAGCAGTTACCTGAAATCTGAAAACATTAAATGAAAAACTGCAGAAACGATTTATGTTTTAAATTTTATGTTGTTCTGAGCAGCGTGATGAAATCTGTTGCCGTCCTACCTGGAACATTGAGTCACGCCTCTGTCCAGTGTGTCCATGCTGTATACACTGTCCACCCATCAACCACTAAATAGCTGTCTTGGTTGTCAACATAACAGATCACAAGAAGATTGAGGTTGGGTGCGGTGGCTTACCCCTGTAATCCCAGCACTTTGGGAGTCCAAAGTGGGAAGATTGCTTGAGCCCAGGAGTTCAAGACTAGCCTGGGCAACGAAGCGAGATCCTATCGCTAAAAAAATTTTAAAACAACTTTTTGGCTGCCAGCAGTGGCTCACGCCTATAATCCCAGCACTTTGGGAGGCCAAGGGGGGCGGATCACGAGGTCGGGAGATCAAGACCATCCTGGGTAACAGGGTGAAACCCGGTCTCTACTAAAAATAACAAAAAATTAGCCGGGCTTGGTGGCCGGCGCCTGTAGTCCCAGTTACTCGGGAGGCTGAGGCGGGAGAATCACTTGAACCCGGGAGGCGGAGGTTGCAGTGAGCTGAGATCGTGCTACCGCACTCCAGCCTGGTGACAGAGCGAGACTCCGTCTCAAAAATGTGTGTGTGTATGTGTGTGTGTGTGTGTGTGTGTGTGTGTGTGTATTACATTAGAAGAAAAGCAAACAAGTCTAGAGAGTTGGTTGTGGTCCTAGGACTTGTAACAGGACACGTAAACTGGAGCTGAGGCTGCCATCCTGGGGTGACCTTTGGGGATTCTATGCGCTGATGCTGAGCAAGCAAAGAGAAGCAAGAGTTTGGAGCAAACAGAGAGAAGCAGGGAGGCTTTCCGTGACCCCCCTGTCTAACATGTTAAGCCCTCAACCGCAGCCTTTTCTCTCCACGCCCTCTTCTCTATCCCGTGGTCCACGTTTTTCCCCCTTCTGCTGCATATTACTTGTCTGCTCACTGTCCGTCTCCCCGTTCCATTTCTCTATTGCTTCCCGAAAAGACCACCCTCAAAACGTAAGGGCTTTGCAACAACAATGATCATGCATTTCTGTCCCCAAATCCACAGTTTTGATGTTCTGCTCCCTGATGCCTAGGGTCTCGGTTGGGGACTGAAACTGTTTCCATGTATTTCTCTCCACAAAGCCTCGGGCTTCCTCACGACACGGCAGCCTGCGTAGTCAGCCTTCTTCCATGACGGCGCAAACCTCCCAGACGATTCCCGGAGACCCAGATGCCTTTGGAGCTGTAAGGATGCCTCCCACCCAGCCTCGGGAGCCCCTGGACATCGCTTCTGCCAAATGCCGTTGTGCATAAGGCCAAACCAGATCCAAGGAGAGGGGAATTGGACTCTACTTCTCAATGGGAGAAGCAGTAAAGAAGAAAGTTCTCGGGTTACCGTCCAAAAAAATCGGCCGGGCGCGGTCGCTCTGGGAGGCCGAAGCGAGCGGATCACCTGAGGTCAGGAGTTCAAGACCAGCCTGGTCTGCTAAAATAAAAAAATTAGCCGGGCATGATGGCGGGTGCCTGTAATCCCAGCTACTCGGGAGGCTGAGACGGGAGAATCGCTTGAACCCGGGGAGATCGCGCCACTGCACTCCAGCCTGGGCGGCTGAGTGAGATTCCGTCTCAAAAAAAAAATCGAGGACGGCTCACCATCTGAGCATAAAATGAAGGTTGAACAGATTACCTAGAATATCTCAGATCGGGTGAATTGACTATAAAACATAACAGTGGCCGGGCATGGTGGTTCACGCCTGTAATCCCAACACTTCGAGAGGCTGAGAGTGGGCAAATCACCTGAGGTCGGGAGTTCGAGACCAGCCTACCAACATGGAGAAACCCCGTCTCTACTAAAAATACGAAATTAGCCGGGCGTGGTGGCGCATGCCTGTAATCCCAGCTACTCGGGAGGCTGAGGCAGGAGAATCGCTTGAACCCGGGAGGCGGAAGTTGCGGTGAGATGAAATCGCGCCATTGCACTCCAGCCTGGACAACAAGAGCGAAACTCCGTCTCAAACAACAACAACAACAACAACAACAACAACAATAAAAATAATAAAATAATAATAATAACAGTGTATTTACAGATTTTCCCAAGTGTTTAAACACGGTCTGTTGTCCAGCGTTATACACTTAACTCGACCAGTGCACGCACGTTTTGCATAGTGGACAACTTTGTACTTTGTCCTGATTTTTTTTCCTTCAAAGTAAGAGGCTTGATTCTCCCCCGACTCCACCCGGCCCCTCTCCTTTAGGTTCTCCTGTTAGTTGCAGCCATTTCTGACAGGCCTACCAGGGAAGATGCTCAAGGAAAACGATGTTCTGTCAAGCTGCTTGGGGAAATCTTAGTGCTTAATGTTTAACCGGGGGGAGGAGGGGAACCTCATAATAGTTGTGTCCTGTGGGGAAGACTTCTGTTGGGCTGGCGAGAAGAGAAGGGGCCGAAACTTGCCTTTTGCTGAGAGGAAGGTGAGCCCAAACCCGAGCCCCGCCCGGCCCAGACGCTAGGTCCCTCGGGGACTGGGCGGTGGGGCCGCAAGCTCTTTCTCTCTCTCCCCCCACCGCCCTGTCTCTCTCCCTCTCTCCTCCTCTCTCCCCCTCTTCTCTTCTCTTTCTCTCTCTCTCTTTCCCCCTCTTCTTCTCGCTCTCTCCCTCTCGCCCTGTTTTTCTCTCTCTCTCTGTGTGTCTGTCTCTCTCTCTGTGTGTGTGTGTCTCTCTCTCTTGTCCTCTCAGGGCTCCCTTTCAGGTCCCAGACTCCCGGCCGCGCCCCCACTTGCGCCCACCCAGCCCCGAGACACCCAGGCCTGTCCCTCAGTAGGTCCCCGGGCAGGCAGCTGGAGAGACCGGAGCGCCGGGGACGTCCCCCAGCGGGGGCGTGGCGTATGCAGATGAGCACGGCGCGCGGAGGCTGCCGGTCACGTTCGGTCTGGAACCCCACGTCCCGTGCGGATTTCCAAGTGCTGCCGGTGTGACTTTCCCTAGCAGCGAGGGTGGAGTAAGGGGACTGGAGAGAGTGAGGCGGCTGGGGCCGCATGAGAGAAGTGACCGTGTGTTAGAGAGTGGTGGGCACGAGAGTGTGAGAGGAAGCGGGAATGACATCTCATACTTACCTGGCAGGGGAGATACCATGATCACGAAGGTGGTTTTCCCAGGGCGAGGCTTATCCATTGCACTCCGGATGTGCTGACCCCTGCGATTTCCCCAAATGTGGGAAACTCGACTGCATAATTTGTGGTAGTGGGGGACTGCGTTCGCGCTTTCCCCTGGTATTCATAGAGGTTGAAACAACAGACGGGATTAGGTGGTGGTTTTTTTGTGTTTTGTGCCAAAAACACTCCTGCTATTTCTCTTTCCTTGCCCACTCCTGCTGTTTCTTTTTCCTTGCCCGGAGAAGAGCTTTTGGCAACGGGTTAGCTGAAAACGTTGCGATCTCTTGCTTTTCCAGGCCAAAGTCGCGTTTTTTCTGCAAGTTTGGGGTGTGTAGAGGAAAAAGCCGGAACAGCTTTCTCCGGCGTGGACTAGGCCCGTGAGGAAAATATCCCAGGATCTGTTAACCGCTAGCAGAAATGACAAGACTATGTATGGGCAATTAATCCTGGTACAGGCAAGTATCCGGCTCAGAGGTTTAGGAAGGACCCGTCAGGGTTGACTTCCCCGCGTCCCCACCTAGGGGGAGATCGACTCCGCAGGAGCTGCTGATCCCACCCAGGCAGGTGCTGG